ACTCGGATTATATTTTGCTGAAGCTCAAACACTTTCATAGAATCGGGAACGTTCGAGACAGTGTCTGACGCGTCTGCCTTTGCTACCCAAACGGATAAGTGGTCATCGAAACTGACTGATTGGTTGCCGATTTTGTAGTGACCGTGGTTCGTTTGACCCTGTACATGAGGTTCAGACTGATATTGACGGGTTACGGGAAAGAAATTTAATAGCTTGACTGTATTTAAAACTTCCAAAACTGTCCAAATGAATCAGATTTACGAAAATGACTTTCTACTAGTTCCATCGTTTTTCTGAGAGGTGGCGATGGCGATGGTTAAGGTATTTGTTAAACCGGTTACGCTTCAGCGATGAGCATCCATCAGTGAGGTTTGCATGTTAAGTATGTTTTTGAGAATTCCTCTTAGTCTTAAAGCCGACACTCAAGTGCATTTCCGGTTGTCGTCGACGCCACTTTTAAAATGCCGTGGCAGGCAGTTCCTGTTATAATTTGTTAAGCGGACCTTTTGATTTTGCAGCATTCTGTGCATTTTCGTGAGGACATTCGCCTTTCCAAGAAGAAACTTGATCAAGCGTCACGATCGAGCTTTGTTTGATTGAGTTAATTTTATTTCGTTGACTGATTGTCTGGAACAAGTCACACAGACATCTTAATAATGAATGGGCTGTTTGTGATGTGTTGCAAAAATGAAATTGCAGAAATTCAAGTCGTTCAATTTTATTGGAATTCTGTTTCGTCAGGAATAACGTAAAATGATAGGAAAACGAATGAGTGGGTAGGAGCACAAACATATCTGTGATGTCATTGTCCGACTGAAAAAAGTTAAAGTGGAAATGGGTAAGGCACTTTGCCAGAAGAATCGACCATCGCCGCACCACAGAGACGTTGGACTGGGTTCCAAGAGAAGGTAAACGGCCTGAAGGAGGAACACTTGCAGATCGATGGCAGGATGAGTTAAAGTTCGCTGGGTCAAGATGCATGAAAAGTTGGGAAATAACCGAAGTTTATCGCAAGATCTTGGAGAAATTTCATCCGTCGATGGATCGACAAAGACTGCTGCTGATGTTTTGTGAGGGTGACAGTTTCCGGTCAGTAGACGACCATATATTTTAACCATCTGTTGATCTGACAGCTTTGTCATTACACGAATGAAATGGATATGAAAGGCCATTTGCCTCTCATTTCCCTGTCCATTCAAAGTTAGTTAGGCGCGAGTCACTGCACGCAGGCAGGAGACTTGCCACTGGGTATGAAGGGTTGGCTGATTGCCGAGGGTATATCGAATTGCCGGGTTTTAGACTTTGTCGCATCTCGTTATACAAGCAGTCCTTCGAGGAAATTTCAGTTTTTGCGCCTTGCCTCTAGGATCGCACTCTTTCGCTCAGTATCTGGCAGTAATGACCGTAGCCGTTGACAGGTGCAGTGCAAACTAGAAGACGAATAGCTTCGCAATACGAGTAACTTCAACCACTCGTGAGTGTTACTTCGATATGCTCAAATTTTACTGTTTGTTCCATCTGTAGGCTGCTCTTATGTATGGTAATCTGAGTTGCCCTTTTCGAGTGTACAAAAACCACGACCAACCTGATTTTCGTCACTTCCTGATTGCCGGACTATCCACTATTCATGAAGCATCACTAGCATGAAAAACAACGCATGATTCAAATTTCATTAAAAATGAAATGCATCTCCGTCGTATTTCCCTCAATTTGCTGAAAGATGAATGATTTATTCGTCACTTGATTTCGTGACTTACTTTTCGGTACTGTAGTAATATTAGTACTTTAAACTAATGCTGGTACTTTAAAGCTTAAATGAATCACCATGGATGGCGAGATCGGTTAACGGTTAACAGTTCAAGCGTTTGAAGTTGCTGAGCCTGAGAGTCTTAATTACTCTTGACTAAGTAGCCTAAATGCTTTACTTTTCATCAAATTCACCGATGTGTATGTGCATGAAACATACCACGAAAAACGGTTTAGTTATACATCAGTGCGGCAGATTGTATCGGATGCACTGTTTCTGACCTATCAGTTCGTACGTTTTCAGTCTTCTGTTAGGTAAAGCTGACAGTAGTCTGTTATTGCAGATTTAGTTATCGATCGGCAGTGGGTGGTTTTCATCGAGCCGTAAGGTTCGACGTCAAAAACCTACGTGCCTGCCTATGGTCAGGTCATTTGAGGAAGTTCCATAGCAGCTAGACTTCAGTGGTACATGATGTACGTGCGTTCAGCACCCTGTTTACACTCTACACAGATTACTTTCGTTTTCGACCATTTTAAAATAATTGTACTTTTAAACTATTCGTATTTTTGTGCAGAGTGATGAAATTATGTGAAATAAAGGTAATTGAAACGACTGTCCTGCGGCCGTTGGTCTGCAGACCAAAATCTTGTCCCTTTGCTTTACTCAAGACTTACAGGTGACGAACACATTTCGCTTTTACCTATTGCGCCATGCTTGAGTATA